GCCTTTGCGATTGGACTGCCCTCCATCTGCTTATAATGATGAAGATAATATATAATAATATGCGTGGAGTGGCCAGCGCTGCCAGGAGGGACCAATGCGCGGCTGGCCAGGCCATCGATCGCTCCGGCGCAGTTCTCGCAACACACAGCAGTGTAATATAGCGCCGGAATATACTGCAGTATGGATTACAGCGCCCCGAACTTTCGCTATAAATTATGGCTATTATACACGTGGTGTTAATGCGGTTCATTAAAGGCGGACGTTATGCGTGACCCGGGCACTGCACTCGCATTAGAGCTGTCTGAATTCTATACGAACGCGGCAAATAATTTACATGTTTATTGCCTGGGCCATAAAACATTCATGCCCTCATAGATTTGATAGAAATTATTCATGGGTTCTGGTACGACATGGCGAGCGCTGGCTTCGTGCCCTTTCAATAAATTAATACGGAATCAATAGCGGAGGAATTATATCCAGGCCAAGCCAGCCGAGTTGCCCGACCGAGTACGCAATGCTTCTGTTGAGAAAGAGTCACCTGAGTAGAATCCCAGCCGACAAAGCTGCGACAGGGAATTACCCGGCAGTGAGCATCCCTGCGGATCTCAGATTCCGTTCTGCGGAGCTGGTGCTGCGCGAAGGTTTTGCTGCGTGGTAAGCCTATCCCAGCCAAGTAAAATCAGGATGTTTTTCCCTTACTCCATGGAAGCCAAATCAGCAGCATCAGCCAACTTGTGTGCTGACCTTTTTGCTTTAAAAAAGCTCGTGTACGAATATGCACTGCATACACGCGAGCACCAAAGTCCCAAGCGGATGCACGAATGCGCGTTCGCCAGCGCGTGTATGCCTCAGCTTTAAAAAGGTCAGTTGGCGGCTGGCCAGGAAGGTCAACCTGGCGCGTGAACTAGGCCCGTTCAGCTGAAACACCGATTTTTTTCTTCTTGCCCCACCGATTTCGCGGATCCAGACAAACTTGTGGCGCTTCGCATTTCCGAGGGGCGGCCTCAAGAATTGATTGCGGGGCATGTGCAAAATGAAAATTGTTCTTCCTCCAAGCGGATACAATTCATGTCCCATTCCCGGACACCGAAAGGCCGAAGGCTGACTGGCATTCTATATTTCCCCTTATTACCAACCGAATTTATAGTGATGTAGACATATAACCACGTTATTTAATAAGAAACTCTCATAATGAGCACTGGGCTGCATTTGGTGCCGGACTTAAGGCGCAGGCAGGGGGAGAAGACGTCATGAAGAGAGCGACATTGATTCCGGTGGCTGGAATCAGTTGACCTTTAATTTCACATGACTAGGATATTGGCCAGCCCACTTTTCTGCTGTTAGGCTTTCGCTAGCCGCCTATCTGATCCTCGATGCAACGAATATTGCAGCGGTGGTCGATGATGAGGTAAAAGTGGCCGTGTACAGGAAAAGACAAAGAGAGGCTATGGTTGCTGATTCAGATCTAGGCAATGGTGGAACAGATGTTATCGATAAAACAGTGACTGACGCTACGATAGAGCTCATGCACTGCATATGTGGATTCATCGGATAACGGGACTGGGACTGGGATACGAGAATAGCGAAGGGCGGCAGTCATTATATTTGCGTACCTCAACGCCGTTCCAGACACGCAATTATCCTCACTGACGTATCAGAGCTTGTCCCCTGCTAACGAGCTGCGGTGTGGCCAGATGCCGATATAGGCATCCCAGTAGCAGGTGCGTGGACAAGATTACAATATCCTTAACATGACAAATGTTTTCGAAAATCTGCCTTTTTTCAACACGCATCCGCCATTAATCAAAAAAATAAATTGCATGCAGCATTTGCATTAACATGATTGCGACATTAAAATTTAAACCAAAAGCGGCATAGACGGTTTATTTTGATGAAGCAAAAATATAGGATTTAAACCCTTTTTGTGCTTGACTAATACTTTCGAACTATTTGTTCGAGCAAATAAATTACCAGGCCAGAACTTATATTCAGCTTTTGCCTTGCAAAACAGGGGTACAGCCGATCCATCACCATGTGAAGAGGGGTAAATCGTTTGCCGGCCATTTGGAACAAATCAATATATTCTCAACTTGCGAACGACTCGAAATATGTTACTTGGAAAATAGCCTGAGAGGGCTAAAGAGCGCACCTAAAGCTATTTTTTAAATGAGGCTGTTTGTGCTACTTATCTTGCGAACGGTATCCCTCTTCGAACTTGATATAGTGGGTTGCTTTACGGATGATTGAAAGCAAGCACTTACATTGCATAGATAGAGGTGAAGTAAATAGGTGGAAGTATGGTGGCACAGTTATGTCATATTACTTGGCAATAGACGTAGTAAGATTATACAGGACATGGCAAGCCTGGTGTGTACTACACACCTTCTGGTGTCCTTCAGTTTATTCACCACGCATAAATGTACACTAAGTTAGTTAAACGACTTCGGATCAAAACGTATTTTTGAACCAAATCATGTCCGATGTTCAATCGATCATAATCGATCTTAAATTCCCGTCTGACAAAAAGATCTGTCTTGAACCAGTTACTGAACTGGAACGGTAAAAACTTTGTTGGTGCATTCATGGTACACACACACCGCTGCGTACAATTCATGAAGGTTACATGCAATTCTTAGCGAGCGAGACCGAAGTTCTGAGGAAAATGTGATAGCGTAAGCAGCCCGGTACGGCCTTTCCTGGCCAGTAATGCTTTTAAAGTTAGCGTCGAAGAGTTATAACTTTCAAACCGCTGATCGTGCTTCAGAAAAATTATCCGCACCAAGCGGCGCAATTCTTTAAAAGTCGTACTGCAAGATTTTTTAGGCGTCGTAATGCCAGGCGCTCCGCTAGATGGCGTGTACATGCCAAGTTGCAATATCACCATCAATTCACGTTCCCATTCGACTAACATGAGAAGCTTCTAACTTTCACATCAGGAAGAGTTGAAGGACACTAGTCGAAAACAGGTTCAGGGCCGGAGATCAGCCATCGCAGCGCCGTGAGACTAACCAATGCTGACAGGAGCAGAAAAATGGCCGCCGCGCTGGCAGAGGAGCGAACTGATGTGCGCAAACTGTCATGTGCTGCTGTGCACGAGCCACGAATCCGCCCGATATGAGGCGTTTTTAAGGTCAAATATCGGCAACCAGGGCGACGATAATCGAGAAAGCAAGTGCACGACGTGGGCAAATGTCCCGGCTGCAACTCATTAGCAACTTTCAGAGCTGTCCAGTTGGTAGATGTGTCGGTCATCAACAATCTTAACCATTTCCCAAAACTGATCGCAAATAAGAAATGTTATGGCCTAAGCCGGGAGAAATTGGGCCCCGCCAACCCATTAAATGAAGGTATTCCTGTGCGATTATGAGTCCCACTCACAATGGTTCACAGAGGCGACTAGCTCCAGTTGCTGCGTTCGGTCACGATCCCCATGACTCTTGCTATCAGTGGGGGTGTCTTCAACGGCTCGGCTCGACACTCACGCATGGAGGCTAAGGCATCGAGTGACACTATTTCTTAAAAATTGTGCTGCGTCATTACTAACGCACTTGATGCAAGCATTGTTCATGCGGTATATTTCCACGATGTTGCAATGTGACCACTATTTCAGCTACCCGCTCGAGGAACATACGGAAGAGTTTTCCACCCGTGAAAAGGCTGAAAAACACGAGTCGGGCGCAGGTCCAGATCTCGACCACCAGACGTCCTCAATGACGTCACACGAACTGATTGCGACTAAAAAATCATACGGGTAAAAAATGCCGGCCGATATGTACAGACTTTTTCGCTTAATGATGCACAATCCACGGTTCTTCTGCCTTCTGCTGTACTGAAGTCTTTCAAGAATTTGTGCCAGATCTCAGTAACAAGAGCGAGAAGAAACATGAGCCCAGCTGCATGGTGTTGGCGAACGCACCATACGCAAATCTTAAGTGATCTTAACGCTGTCCATCCCATAGACTTGCCTCGAACACGATACGCTGTGGTCTTAACTTAGCCGGTCCGGCCATAAGACCAACAAAGCCACATAGCCAAGTTTATTGAAACCAATATCACCCCTAAATGCTTCCGTTTTTTCAAACCTTTCATAACAGACATCAAAAACGTCAGCGAGTTTACCAACCTCGTCGCTAAAAAGCCGGGACTCACCAGTCTCCAAATCCAGCCATCACTTAAGAAATATAACTTGAAAGCATGTGCGCAAACACCAAACATCGCTGCTCCCACTCTTCCTGAGTCCGTGAAAGACGAGTTCAGGACCTTCCGGCAGGATCTGGAAACAAACCCGAAGGTGAGTGATTTGACACCAGCTTTACGAAACGATTCAGCCGAGGTGTTCGCATCACGCATGGAATAATTGTGCGGACTTTCGTCCTCGTCAGGTATGGTACAATCTACACAACGTTTAGGCTAGCTGACTTCCGGCCATCGTCAGGTATTAGATGCAATGTCAGGGTAGTCTTCAGAAGCAGCTTCACGCTCCGGAGAGTACTTCCCAAGCCAGGCCACCGACACGTAAGGAACATACGGAGAACTGCATATGCGACATACCGTGCAGCTGTGGTAGGTCCTACAAAGGAGAGATGCGCTGCCCTCTGCCAATCAGGCTGGAAGAGCACAGGAAGACATCGGTTCGGGGTGAGACTCGTCATGAAGTCCGGTGTGACAGCGCGTGCATGATCAGACGGCGATCCTCAACCAGCACGGGATGAGGTGACCATCATCGGCAGGGGGCAATGCTGGAAAGTCAGAGAGATTAAGGAGGCAGCGCACGGGCCATTGGCTAACAGCCCCAGTAAGCGAAGCGTAGACATCAGCCCAATGTGTCATTCAATTCCAAGGAAAAACTCCAAAATATCCAGGAGATAAACGACACCA